ATACCAGAAGAAATGATTAGCTTATGAAAGTGTATCCAATTGAGTACTCATTATGATTGATGTGATAGAAAATGCAAAAATAAATATGTTATTTAAGGCTCCCTAAGTGTGAAGAACAAAAATGTACCCAAGTGAATATATGACCAGGCAGAATGTGGTAAGTGCTGTTATAAAGTACATACCAAATAGTAATGGGAAAACAGTAGAGGAAAAGTAGAAGAAACAACAGATGCTGGTGAGGCTGTGGAGAAACAGGAATGCTTTTACACTATTGATGGGAACATAAATTAGTTCAACCATTGTGGAAGACAGTGTGGTGATTCCTAAAGGATCTAGAACCATAAATACCATTTGATCCATCAATCCCATTACTGGGTATATACCCAAAGGAATACAAATTATTCTATTATAAAGATACATACACGTGTATGTTCACTGCAGCACTATTAATAGCAAAGACATGGAATCAACCCATATGCCCACCAATGGTAGACTAAAGAAAATGAGGTAAATATACACCATGGAATACTATGCAGCCATAAAAAAACAAACAAACAAACAAACAAACAAACAAACAAAAAAACTATCATGTCCATTGCAGGGACATGGATGGAGTTGGAAGCTATTATCCTCAGCAAACTAACGCAGGAACAGAAAACCAAATACTCCACGTTCTCACTCATAAGTGGAAGCTGAACAATGAGAACACATGGGCACAGGGAAGGCAACCACACACACCAGGACCTGGGACTGTTGGGGGAGGGGCGGAAGGAAAGACAGCATCAGGATAAATAGCTAATGCATGCAGGGCTTATTACCTAGGTGATGGGTTGACAGGTGCAGCAAACCACCACGGCACACATTTACCTATGTAACAAATCTTCACATCCTGCACATGTATCCCAGAACTTAAAATTTATAAAAACATTATACTTTTCAAAAAAAAAATATTCAGGGAACCATGACCTCACCAAATAGACAAAATAAAGCATCAGGTGCTACATGAACAGGTGCTCAAAATCACTAATCATCTGGAAAATGGAAATCAAAACTGCAATGGGGGCTGGGCACGGTGACTCAAGCGTGTAATCCCAGCACTTTGGGAGGCCGAGGTGGGCGGATCACGAAGTCAGGAGATCGAGACCACCCTGGCCAACATGGTGAAAGCTCATCTCTACTAAATATACAAAAATTAGCTGGGTGTGATGGCACCTGCCTGTAATGCCATCTACTTGGGAGCCTGAGGTGGGAGAATTGCTTGAACCTGGGAGACAGAGGTTGCAGTGAGCCAAGATCGCGCCACTGCACTGCAGCCTGGAGAAAGAGTGAGACTCGGTCTCAAAAAAAAAAAAAAAAAAAAAATGCAATGAGACATCACCTCACTCCAATCAGAGTGGTTACTATCAAAAAAATCAAACGATAAGTGTTGACAAAGATGTGGAGAAATGGGAACCCTTACACACTGCTGGTGAGAATGCAAATTAGTACAGTCATTATGGAAAACGGTAGAGCGGTTCCTCAAAAAATTCTACCATATTATCCAGTAATCCCACTGTTGGATATATATTCAAAGGAAATGGAATCGGTATGTAGAAGAGCTATCTGTATGCTCATGTTCACTGCAGCATTATTCACAATAGCCAAGATATGGAATCAACCTAAGTGTCTATCAACACATGGACTGATAAAGAAAATATGGTGTGTATATACACAATGAAATATCGTTCAGCCATAAAAAAGAATGAAATCCTGTCATTTGTGGCAACATGGATTAACCTGGAGGACACTGTGTTAAGTGAAATAGTCAGGCACAGAAAGACAAATACCACATGATGTCACTTATATGGAGAATCTAAAACATTGTTCTCACAGAAATAGAGAGTAGAATAGTGGTTACCAGAGGATGGGGAGTGGTGGGTGAGGAGATGGTGAGAGATTGTTCAACGGGTAGAAGTTAATCTTTTTAAAAGAGACAAACGAAGAGGCAATAAATAATTTATGTCTGATGGGCAGCAAATGTCACAGTTCTCACAACTAAAGGGTACTAGTTTAAGAGGTTATGGGAAACTGAACAACAGTTTACTTTCATGGCTAGTTTAAAACAAAGGTAAGCAGTAGAACTGTTAAAATGTACATGAGATAGTTTCTTAAAAGGTCCTCATAGCTCCTAGAAAAGTTTCAAAGACAGAACTAAAGTCACCGGATCCATAAAAAGGGATTATCTAAGAGACCTTATGAGATATGTAAACAATATCCCTAATATCTTTTTCTATGAGAAGTTTTCCAGATTACCAGGCTAAAAGAGGACATAAGAATAAAACTAAGTTTTAATATGTATTATTACTTAAACACCAGACAGGCCTAAACTTAAAATTCATGGAACATAGAAAATTGAAAATTTGAGCACAATTGGCATTTAAGTCCCCATCTATTTCAGCAGATTGTTTTTGCATTTTTAAAATAGATCAGTTTTATTCTGCTAGTTCCATAAAAAACAATGTAAACACAAGCATTCTGTACATCTTGTTAGTGAATTCACATAACGCTTAGTTCCCTAATCCTTTGACCTGCTCAATTTCTCCAGTTATTTTCTGTTGGGACCACTGGCCACAGGAGTGGAGTGAGGTTGGGGCTTAGGACAGAACAATGTGGCTTTTTGGTATGACTTGTTTTATTGCTTGCCCTTTCAGCACACTCCCATTACTCCTAACCCAAAGTTTGAGATTTAAGCCCTTAAACCTATAGGAATCACCATCAGCTTTTTCTTTTTCTGATTGTTTGTTTGTTTTGCATAGGCATAACTAGGTTAGTAATGGAAGACTGGTATAGAAAGTGGTGAGGAGCCGAGGCCAACAAATTGCTTTAAACACAAGATGAAAATGCTCTATTCTATCTAAACAAAGAATCACCTAATACTGGTGTGAGGCAGTCTCACCTAGCTGTGGAGAAGTCCTTGGAACTAGATCTCAGAAAGACATTACCAGCTTTAAGTCAGTAAACCTTTCGGCAATGGGCTAACTCCCTTAAAGAAAAATAAAAAATAAAAAAAGAGTTCTACTTTAAAGACCTTGCAAGTGGAGACCGGACGCAGTGGTTCACGCCTGTAATCCTAGCACTTTGGAAGCCGAGGTAGGCAGATCACGAGGTCAGGAGATCGAGACCATCCTGGCAAACACAGTGAAACCACATCTCTACTAAAAAAAATACAAAAAATTATCCAGGCGTGGTGGTGGGTACCTGTAGTCCCAACTACTCGGGAGGCTGAGGCAGGAGAATGGCGCGAATCTGGGAGGCGGAGCTTGCAGTGAGCCAAGATCGCGCCACTGCACTCCAACCTGGGCGACAGAGTGAGACTCTGTCTCAAAAAAATATATATATATATAAATATATATATAAATATATGTAAATATATAATATATAGTAAATATATGTGTATATATATAAATATATAATAAATAAATAAATGAATAGATAGATAAATAAAAGACCTTGCAAGTGCAGAACTTGTCCGACAAAGATTCTTGGAAATGTTAACGGAGGGTAACTGACATGGGTAACTGTGGGCCAACCAGGAACTGTCAACAGCCTGATCTCAGCAGATGTTTTTAAAAGGAACACAGGAGAATCATATGCATGGCTTTAAACATTAAAATTGATCCTTGGTAAACTGTATTTTCTGAAGCATAAACTGGATGACTAGAAAATACATATTTAATGAATAATACTAATAGTTCTAATCACATTACATGGGGAAATTTTGCAAATTACAAATAAACCAAATTGCATAGAAATGAATTTTGGAGTTATAAGGAACCAAAGAAAGATTACCACTCAGTTTTCCTGGCTTCTATTCAAGTGTTCCTTCTACTATACCACACGGCATACTTGTACTAAGGTTAAGATCCAAACAGAATCCCTTGTTTGTTTTTCTAATGTTTACAATTTAGTGACAAATCCCCAGTTTATTTATCCTGACAATGATCAGGATGCTGGAGTTACTTTGCAATATATTCTACAAATTGGCTAGTGTTCTTGAGATAATTAGCACATATTAACTATAAGCAATTACTTTTGTCATAAAATGTGTTCTACTTCAAATTGTAGCTTAAAAGCTTCCGGGACCTAAAAGCCACATGGTGACAAGCGATGAGTTTTCATTTAAAACTTAAAATTTAAAAATTACAAATGTAAGAAATTAGTTTTCAAGCCTTGATTGACTATTTTTTCCCCAAAATAAATAAGGCCAGTTATGCTGAACCTTCACTAACATGACAGTCACTGGCCATATGTGGCTATTAAGTACTTAAAATGTGGGTAGTCTATATTCACACGGCTATAAGTATAAAATATATAGTACATTTTGAAGACTCAGTATGAATAAATATAGAATACCTAAATTTTTATATTGATTAGATGTTGAAGTAATAGTATTTTGTATATATTAGATTAAACAACATATATTATTAAATTTAATTTCACTTAAAAAAATTTTAATGTGGCTACTAGAAATTTTTAAAGTATGTATTTGACCTGCATTATATTTCTATTGGACCACTCTAAGCCATCAGGAATGAATATCCAGATGCTACAGATACATAGTCCATTCATTCTCTAAGAAGTTGTTAGCATTATAAAAATTGTCTACATAAGTCAATTTCTGAGTGAAAAGAAAATGATATGGAAATACATGGTAAATCTAGAAATAAATTTTAGTTGGCTTTAAATATATCCTGTTTCCAAAATTTATATTTTTGGTTTTGGTTAATACAGGAACTAGTTAATATTCCCTGCACATATGTAAACTGATCAGAAAGGAAGGTGGCCCAGAAACATGGTAAAACCAAAAGTTATCCTTTGTACACTGTTAAATTCACTCATAGATGTGTTAATTAAAAACACATATGATACCATTAGATACTCTGCAAACACACACAAGCTGTAACTTAGGGATTTTAGCAATTTAACATGAGTGCAACAAAACAAAACGTTATAATTTATACCTTTGCTCCACCTGAAATATTGTCCCAATTTCCACCACTCAAAGAGAACTTTCCATTGCCTATACGCAGCAGTATCTCTTCAGGAGTATCATTGGGGCCATTAGCAAATGGAGTGTAGCTATTAATAAAACAGATTTTAATAGACACTAGAGGGTAACATACCCAAAAAATGAAAGAGATACAAATATTTACTACATGCAAATATTTACTTCAGCGAGTAAGAATATCATCTCACATTTTCTTTCACTGTTAAGGTCAAATTTTATATTTCAAACCATAAATTTAACCTTAATAAAATTTTTAATAAAATGGAGAATATTGCTTACATCAATTCTTTCTTTTGTCATTGATCAGCTAATCAATGTAAAATAAAATAAAGGTGGCTTTTCATGTAAAGCTTCAGTCTTAAAACTAGACAATACTAAAACACACATATTCCAGCATAGGTTAGCAAACAAATATACCTAGTACAAAGAAAATATTAATTTCACATATTCATAATGTATTTATTGTTTTGTTTCAATGTAGTCATTAACATTTCATCATTATCATCAGTGGAAATGGTTATCATTACTTTTTATTAATATCTATGAAAACTTGGTTGAGTAAATATTTATATCAACACAAAACTCCATAGCCATTACATTTATTATGTAGATGAATCATGTAGATTAATTGTATTTGATATGCAAACTTTAGCTACCCTTAAATTTACTGTGGTCTAAAACTAAATATTCTGCATAAATTTGTAATACCTAAAAGTATATTAAATGTACTGAGATGTGTAATTATCACCAAGCCATTAAACAATTTAGAGTCACCATTTTTATAACATATTCATAGAGTTCTTGGTATGTCAAGCATATTTAAACTACACTAAATGCACTCTTTAAAATATTATGTCTAAGTACGTTATAATTACTTGCTAAACTTGGCCATTTTTTCTACCACAACCCTCACAGAATAATTTCTACAGTCATAAGTTTTCACTTCTAAATAAAAGTGCTGCTCATTATTGAGAGTAAAATAGTACTCGTATTATTTGTAAAGTATCAACATTAACATAGTCCAATTGTTATTACATTTGTTGTGAGCTTTTCTTTATGATTTCAAGGGAAGGTAGTTGTGTGTGTTTCTGCAGTTTAGTATTGTTACTATATAGATTTGCACAATCTTACTAAGCCTGTAGTGCCAGAATAGTTAGAATTCAAGTGCTTAGAAAAAAATCAACACAGTATCAACAAGTTCAGGGGGCAAGTTGTTGGTGAAACATGAAATTATTTTATGATTAAGTAAATATTTTCAAGATCAAAATAGAAATGCACTTTATTTTTAAAAGTTTTAGTTCCAGGTGACAATTGCCTTTTAAAATTATTATGTCATAAATTAGTAGTGCCTCATTCTACACCTTGCTTTATGTTTTTTTAATTTTATAAGTAACAATCAATATAGATATTTTGAAATGTAAATGGCATTTTCCTTAAAGTTATTTTAATCTATTCTCTTTCTAGATGAAGATATACAGATGAAATTCAAATAACAAAGTTAATGCTTTTGAATATATGTTTCTTACCCAGCCAACATTGTGTAAAAAAGGACTCCTAAACTCCAGATATCACAAGCAGCATCATATCCCTGTTGCATAAGCACCTAAGAAAGAAATACTCATTATATGGTGTTAGTATAAACTCAATTTTCTCCTAAAGAAGTTGTTTTACTTCTAATAATCTCACAAAAGTTCATTATATAAAAACTTCAACCATTTTATGCACTTGTAGTAAAGACATAATCCCTGACACCTCAATGAGTTTTCTCTCCTCCTCTTAGGAAACCAGATATAGAGAAATCTAAACTTAAGATTAATATGTACAGTGATTTTAATGTATGCTATATACAGTACTGAGGCTTTTAATTCTGTCACTGATTCTATGAGGTAGATAATATTCCAGTTTTGAAGATGAGGAAACTGAAGTGAATGTTAAGTAACTTACCCAACATTACAAAACTAGTAAGTAGCAGAACACGAAGTCTTACTTAAGCCTGTGTTTTTAACGTCTATAACTGCCTCTTTACTACACAAGATATGGCAAGATAATATATGACCTCACAAAAGCAGAATGAATTTATATTTTACCATACAAGGCCAATGTCTTGAAAAGAGCAGTATATTTCTGGACCACAAGTACACATTCGATAAATACTGAATGGCTTCATTAATTTTTCATACAACAATTTAGGAAGCTGTTTTTTGGTGCCAGTGTTAATAAAAATCAAACAATATGTTTGTTATGTATTCATGTGAGATTTAGCTACAAAATTATTGAGTTCATTAGAAAAATAAAGAGATGAAATAAGGCCATTTTCTTTTCATTTAGAAAAACAAGCCCACTGCTACAGCCTCTAGGCATAGGAACAAAATAGAAACATTATTAATGCATTAACACTGGGGATTATATAACCACCAGCACGAATTTCTCATCTATAAAAGGCTAAAAATGTTAGTGTTTGGCTTTGACAACTGCTTTGACAACTGCCAAACATGAATAAAGAGTATGTAAAATTTGAAATACGCTTTTTTCTAGTCTTAGTGTATTTATAAAAACACACATATGTGCAAAATTAAGAGGGTAAAGAGGATATAAAAATATAATTGGCTTATATAAATAATACAAGTAGGGAACTATGAAGTACTTAACAAATAAGGTATAGCTAAACCACTCACATCATGGTAAATATTAAGTTGGCATACTCTAGTAAAACACAGACTTCTACTGATTTTATTCCCTTATCTGTTTATTTTTCTCACCACATCTTACAGTTCCAGACATCACCATGTTTTCCCTGATTCCCTTAGGCAGCTTTTTAAAGTTTCCCAAGTGATCCAATGCATAGCTAAGGTTGAGGGTCACTGCGTAGAAACCACGTGGACAGGTGAGAGTTAATCAATTCGGCTGTAGGTACCGTATACTCCTATAACCTTCCTAGTTATGAGGACAGTCTTCCGCAGGAGGTGTCATATTGCTTAATTAGGGCCAAACACGAAAAACTTGTTTTAGGTAAAGAAGAAATGGTCCACTTTTTTTCTAGCGCTAGTTTCAATGCCCTTATAAAAGTGAGCATATAATCATAAAAGAAACACGGCAGAGTGGTAGGATGAATGAAAGAGTACAGAGGGTATGTTTCACACCTTTTTACTTGTATCAAGTTAAATACAAAGATAGAAGTCACAATTAAAGTAGTCAGTGGCATAAGTCTCTCTCTCACTTGGCTTCCCAAGTCAGCAGAAAGTAACATACACAGAGCTCCTCATTCCTGTTGCTCAAATCAATTAACGTTTGGGGCAAACTATTTGACAGCCCAGAGAAAAGAGCAAAGGAGAGTTAACTTCAAAATTAGTTTATAAAAAGCTGCACACACAGTATCCCTCAACTTTTTTGTAAGCCCCGTTAATTCAGGAGCATTCTTTAACCTCAGTAGGCTTATAATATCAGTTGAATAATATAACATAGTGGATCTGCCTTTATCAAAGAATAAAATATTTTAGAGATATATTCACTTTTGGCAACACAGGTATAGTAGAAAAGCACATCTACCTAATAAACCCTAAGATGTTGATCAAACTGATGCATAATCTAAAAACTAAAAGAATATTCTCTCCTTATTAAGCTAAAATTGCAATAATCAGTGTACCTCTTAGCAAACAAAAACTGTTTATGCATTGTGAAATAATGAATGTATACCCCCATAAATGCCATTTTTTTATTGAAATGTCTGTACTAACACTTGAATCTTTCTGATTCTAGTTTAAAAAAGAATGCATTTTTATATTTTACCTTTTGAAAGCATCTGAAATTTTAGAAACAAACTGCACTAAAAGTACTCTCTGTGGTTCATTAATAACAATGTACAAATATATTATTGATTCCTAGCATGGGCTTCATCACTCAAAAATCAAACTTTCAAAGTATTTTGAAAATACAAATACCAGTCAAAGGTAGTTCAAGCACTAGAGAGAAGTGGTCTCCAGATGCCCACCTGAAAACCCTCACTACTACAATGGTAATAGTGTCTTACTACAGTGTACGTCTGTTGGGAAAAAAAAAACAAACATCAATGAGCTGTATTCTACTCTCTGGATTTGCTTACCTAACCATTAATCTATAACTGTTTACCTAACCATTAATCTAAACACGGACATATTATATATTTTTCATTTTAATGTCCATTTTTGATATTTTCATATGGTACATATTCATCTCTAACCTTTTTCCACTGAGAAGTTGCCATAATACTAAGTAGTTTAGGTCCACAAGATTAAGTCAATATTAAATATTTGGCTATTAAAATGGTTATTCTATACTCTGCTCTTATGTCTATTGTATAAATCTGTTACAATATTTATGATGACCTTTATGATGACCATATATGCTATACATAACAGAAGAGCACTATCTCAAATATTCTGTCCTCCTATCCTGTAAAACCACTGAAATGTCCTAAAAAGGCTAATATTTTGTATGTTCAGGCTATTATCTCATACACCTTAGGGCAGTACAATATCTTGTAAGAGATAAAAACTTGTATATTATTTTATGAATTTTATTAAAATATAGATTAACTCACATTCTCTGGATATATACATAATTTCTTATTAGTCAAATCTCTTATCATAAAAAGCTTATAAAACAGATGTTCTGCCTGTTCTTCAATATAAGTACAGTATTTTCTATATTTCTACTTTCATTATGAAAGTTATTTTTATAGTAGCTACTTTAAAATAGACTGATTTACATTAAAATACAAATAGCTTATTGTTAATATATCTGATGTGCAATATTTCCCTGAAAAAGCTAGTATTTGATATAAAAGTAGAATTATAAAATATATAGAAGAGAGGAATTCTTCTCAAATTATTTTACTCTGCTTCTCCTTTGAGTAGACACATTTTATTTTTTCAAACCTAAAGAGTTTTAGGTATTTTGATTTTTGTTGAATATGTAATTACATGTCAGTTGGTATTATCCATAACATATAAGAACAGCTATTGACTTAACAAAGAAAGCTCATCTAGAACTTATATGGCCAATGCCATCTGTTGATTCATTTTTCCCCAACTTTACTTTCACTGCTATGGAAATTGCTACTGTCAAAACTCCCATCCCCAGGGTTAAAATGAATGTTACAGTTTCTCAAATGTGAAATCTGTACCAGAGCCTCCCCTTTCCTTACTCTTCTCCCTAAGAACATCACCTTTCCTGACTCTTCACTCTAAGATTTAGATACAAATATTATTTTCTGAGAAAAATCCACACGGCTTACAAAAACCCCTGTGTGGCTATTTTCTCCGGGAGTTAGAAGATCCTAAAGACAATCGAGGATGGCACTGCCCTTATATGTTATTTATAATGCTAATCGACAAATTACCTAATGTTCAGTACAATTTAACATACCTGATGAATCTATCCTAGTTTTGTTATTAAGTGAATGCTGGGTCTTGAATAAGTCATTGAAGTACCTTGAGCCACAGTTTCCTCATTTAGAATACATAACACCTTGAAGCTGTGGCTATCTTTACCCTACCACCCAACTCTAAAATGGTATGATTCTGAAATTAGTATATAACCCAAGAGAACAGAATAGCCTGATTATTACATTCTGGTTGATTTTAGATGCTAGTTACCAGTGTAAATATTTATATTAGGGGCTATGAGAATTCATGGATTTAAAGAACTTTAAAACTGAAAAGGGCAAGATAATAGCTTTTATCTGCCTACCATAACATACACATGGCATCATATAGATTCAACTAAAGGAAAAGAATGAAAGGCAAATGGTGAAGTTTTTAAGGAATACCTCAGGTGCAACAAAGTTTGCAGTGTAGCATGGAGTTAAGAGAAGTCCATTTTCTCCTCGAAGTTGTTTTGCAAACCCAAAATCACATATCCTGATTGAATCTGCACTGGCTGATTCATCCATGTATAAAATATTACTAGGTTTAAGATCACGATGAACAACCTTGAATATAAAGGAAAAAAGCATAATATCTATATAATTAACTAAATATCTGAGAAATAAAACATTATATCTACATAATTAACTAAATATCTGATAAAAAGAAACTTTCCGAATTACAAAATTTTTTTTTTTAAATTTATTTATTATTATTATACTTTAAGTTGTAGGGTACATGTGCATAACGTGCAGGTTTGTTACATATGTATACTTGTGCCATGTTGCTGTGCTGCACCCATCAACTCGTCATTTACATCAGGTATAACTCCCAATGCAGTCCCTCCCCCCTCCCCCCTCCCCATGATAGGCCCCGGTGTGTGATGTTCCCCTTCCTGAGTCCAAGTGATCTCATTGTTCAGTTCCCACCTATGAGTGAGAACATGCGGTGTTTGGTTTTCTGTTCTTGTGATAGTTTGCTAAGAATGATGGTTTCCAGCTGCATCCATGTCCCTACAAAGGACACAAACTCATCCTTTTTTATGGCTGCATAGTATTCCATGGTGTATATGTGCCACATTTTCTTAATCCAATCTGTCACTGATGGACATTTGGGTTGATTCCAAGTCTTTGCTATTGTGAATAGTGCTGCAATAAACATACGTGTGCATGTGTCTTTATAGTAGCATAATTTATAATCCTTTGGGTATATACCCAGTAATGGGATGGCTGGGTCATATGGTACATCTAGTTCTAGATCCTTGAGGAATCGCCATACTGTTTTCCATTTTGCTCAAGCTTAAGAGCCTAAAATATACACAGGAAATTATCTCTGTCAGATAGATGTTCCAGTTTCTATTCAAGCCACTAGTTTTGTTAACCATTTCTAATCTCAATATATCTAAGCTCAATTCTCAGATCCACTTTTGGACATGCCATAATTTATATCACTTAGCATTATGCTTAACATATAAGAACAGTTCCTGACTTACAAACTAAACTAAGTTTGGACTTAGTCCATAATGGACTAAGACCCTACTCAACACCCTCCTCCTTGTAGCAAACAACCATAAAACCTGGATATAATACAAAAATCAACTATCTGGAGGCACTGGATAATGAACAGAAGCAGATATACTCTGATGAGGAGTACGCACTTTGTTGAAGGAGGGAACACAGGAACCTATACAAGGACGTTTCCATATCTGTGGCTTTTAGCCTGGGTTTAATTGCAATCCCTACGGTACACAGTGGTGGTAAAGACATGTGGAAAAACTCACAGTCCTTCTGGTTTAGAGGACCAGAAAGGAGATGCTGGAAAACTCTGAATGCTGAGTGGAGAAACATTATAAAGGAAAGAGCCAGAACTGATCCTTGAATCAAAAATGTATGGAACAGGATCAAAATAGTTTGTATAAAGACAAATAATATGAACAAAACCCAGAGCTGCTGGCCCCAAAACTAGTTTTCAGTTCAAGCTCAGCCAAGAAAATTACTCACTTAAACAAATGAAACAATAATAACTATTGGAGAAAAATAACAAAATATGAAAATCTCTATAACTGATTATCATAATGCTTAGGATACAATCCCAAATTATGTAATATACAACGAACCAAGAAAATGGAACACAGTCTTAAGAAAATCAGTGAATTCTGATTCCAAGATGAATCATGCTAAAATAGATAAGGATTTTAAAGTGACTATTATAATGATCTTCAACAAAGAAAACAAAACATACTTTCAATGCATTAAACTCTCAGCAAAAAAAAGGGAAGTCTCAGCAGAAAAATAGAAACAATAAAGAAGAAACAAATAAAATGTAGGACTGGTAAAAAAAAAAAAAAAATGCTGAAATTCCCCCATGTGATAAGTTTCCTACTAGTACTATCTACTTCATGTAAGTTACCCTTACCTTTAATCAGAGTTTACTATGCTAAAGTTCTTTAAGGGCAAGGACCAAGTCTCACTCATGTTTGAATCCACAACACTTTTTACAATGCCTGGCATGTAGAAATGCTTGATATGTGTCTTATTAATTTAGTTAATTGATGTAAGAACCGGAAGGTTCATACAATAATAAAGAAGAGATGCCTATGATTCTCTTCTCAAAAATTCTCTTCATGCTTTACTTTAGAGAGTGCTGGTAAAGACAATCAAATAATTAAATTATCAAAAAGCTACTGCTTTAGCATCATATATTTCAAAATACTGAAAATATACTTTATTAAACCACACACAAAATGGAGTACTAGTTTATTTTTATTAATTATAAGGGCTTCATACAGAGTTTTCATTACGTCAATTCTCAATTGCCATTTTTAATTTATTAAGTTGGTACATATCTACTATCACAATTGATTCAAACTTAAATTTTTAAATTACTTCCTACTTTGTTTTTTTATACAGTTATATATATTAAAAGTTGCCTTTTTTGGTAACTCAGTTCATTTGCTTTCTTTATGAAAGGACAGGAAGCAAAATAACAAGCCTGCCCCTTCACCACAAAATTTAATATAGTAATACTTCAAATGTTTAGAATACACATTTCTTACTGTAGTTAGGGGAGGAGCTGGCAAGGTTCAAGATACATGTTAGGTAACCTGAACTCTCTATGTTAGGTAACTTGAATAATAGTCACTGTATGTCTTTGGTTAATTCTTTTATGTTTGACTTTTAAGTCTAATTAAGTTTCATAATTTCCAGGTCAAAGTTAGGTACCTTTATGTAATTCAAACCACTTTTTAAATGAATATGCTATTAAATCAGGGCCAATTGGCAGAGAGAAAATAATTATTTCCTAAATCCATAAACTTCACTACATTGTGAGATCTATTAGGATATTCTCTATAGACATATATGTGAATAAAAGCAGTTTATTTTAGGGGGCATCATCTCCTATATTTTTATGAAGATATAGGTCCCAGAATAGAAAGAAAAAAGTTAACTACAACTTACTCCTTGACAATGAAGATAGTCAACTGTCTTACTTATTACATATAGTATATCACTAGCCTCCCGTTCCGAGAAACATTTTTGTTTGAGAATACGGTCAAGTAACTCTCCTCCTTTCATTAAATCCGTAACAAGGTAAACATATCTACCATCATCAAAGACCTACGAAAGAACGCAGTTTTAAAATGTTATTATTTATAATTACAATTCTATAATTCTTAAATTACATTTTAGTTATATTTACCTTTCTACTAAACCTGCCTCTAGTATTAAAAACAAAAAAGACATTATTCCTTTACTGTTAATGCAGTACAGGCTGTACTAAAGGTTGAATTGGCTAAACAATCACCTACACAGTCCCATGAAACCATGTTAAACATATAATTGTATTACCTTTTGAAGTTACAGGTTGCAGTTCATCAAAGAATATAAATTAAAAAAATAGAACTCTGTGCCTCTCAAATGACCTATATCTCATTTTTTTACTGTATTATAGCTACTTCTCTTCCCCAAACGTAAGCTTCTTTCTGAAAGTAAATGTATTATTTAATTTTATATCCTTCCCTCAGGCCATTATCTGATGTGGTATATTAAATATTGGTTGAATTCCAATAGTATACCAAAGAAAACAAATAAGAAAAGTATTTATACACGTTTCACTCAGGGCATGTATGATACACACACACACACACACACACACACACACACACCCCACACGGTAGTTTAAAGATTACAAATCAAAGTGCATATCATTTTCTGACACAAAGTGATCAAGGTGATAGTTTTTTCTGTCTTGTATAAAGAGAAAAGAACATTATCTCCTTATGTGAAAAGTGAGCATTCGGTAACATATTAATGAGTTATATATTCATTTTACAAAACTGTAGACTAACACTATTTCACTCCAGAAACAATCCGTAACGCTATAGCCAATTACCATACAATAAAGAAAGTAAAATATTCAAGAATTTGGCAGATCCCCAATGTCCTGTATCTTCTATATTGATAGCACTACAGAATAATAAATGGTGTTAGTTACAATGTTAGTTAACCAGCCAGAATATATTCAAGTAATCCAGAAATTCTCATTTACCAATCATCACAGTTATTTTTGATATTCTATAAGACCAGGAGTATAGAATCATGGGGGAAAAAAAAAATTAAAGTGGCAATTTAAGAGTCTTGAGATTTTTGAGGCATGAAATTAAATATGCTAAAGACATTAAAAGTTTCAATAAGAAAAATAAAGTTCCAATTCATAACTTCATTAGCTTAGCTGATACCTAGATTTAGAAATACCTACATCCTTCAAAGTAATAATGTTGGGATGTTGTCCATAGCGCATCAGTATTTCAATCTCTTCTGAAGGGTCTCGCTTACTTTTGTCAATGATCTAAGAAATAAGAACAAAAAATATCTGAGGCAAACAAATTATTTTGTCTAAAAATGAATATTTTCAATTTGGTTATATTTTTGAAGAAATGCTTAAAACCTCAAGAACAATGCTTACCTCATATTATTTTAACATTTAAAAACATCTTATAAGTTAAAAACTTAACAAAAGAAAAGAACATTTTAACATTATATCCTATTTCACTGAAACTGTACCAATGATGACGTAATTGTAATTGTCACAATTGCTCAATCTTAACATAATACATGTATAACAAAATTTTTCAAATGCAAAAATTCATGAAATATACTGTTCCTACATAATAAAGGCTTGAAAAGAAATTCAAAAATGAAAATATTAAGTCTCAGAGTTCTTTCTCATCATCTTATATTTCCTATCTTCATTTACTCAACTGAAAATGTTTATCAGTTGACTCATAATTTAAATTACATGCATAAAACAAACAAGAAAGCTAGGCTCAGAGACAATACCTTCACTGCAAATTCCATGTTGGTAGTTGCATGTACGCATCGCTTGCAAACAGAATAGGAGCCAACACCAATATCCTCTTTCAATTCATATACTTCACCAAATTGTGCAGCATTTCCATTTATCTGTTTATTTTTAAAAAGTAAAATACTAAGGAGAATGAAATATTTTCACATTTTCTGTCTTTTGTCCTAAATATACATTCATCTTAAATCTTTAACTAGAATAATTCATTCTACAAAAGTTTTATCAACATTTATAAATGGCGTGAACCAATCCTTTCTTGATACCCACAGGCAATATAATAAATCAGCTAGCTTATACATCACCTTTCTATTTTATTCAAAAGAGGTCACATAAATATAATTTAAAAGTTACCACTGTCTGCTCTTTTCCAAAACATACAGGGATATATTTAATTCATGATTTATACCAAGAGATAAACAAAGTAGTTAAAAATCACTGAAAAAAACTATTAAAAATACATCAGCAATAACAGAGAAATAATTATCCCAAAACTGAATAATGTGATTTAGTGGAATTTACCTGAACAATTGGTAATACATTTGCACTTGTGATAGGAGTGATTTTATATTCTTCTGCAATAGAAGTTGCAACAAAGCTGAATCCTTTGAAGAGCTGATGAGCGTTTGCACTGGCTGGCAAACCAGGAGAATCTAATGTCCAAATAATTACATTTAATTATAACTACACGCAGAATTCTATGGTATAAAGTGTCAGAATTTCTTTAACTATAAAGGAAACCATTCAATGCTGCTATCTAACATATTACATATTTGATTTATTGTATATTATCTGTCTCCTCCCATCTGTATACATGCTCCATTTTAGTCAGTAATTTTTGTCTGTTCTTTTCATTGCTGCATACTCATTGCTTAGTACATGGTAGGTATTCAATATTTCTTGAATGTATATATGAAACTGTAAAAGACCGAGTAAAATATCTGATGTCTTACCTCCTACCCCATCCTGTAAATCATTAGCATACCAAAGGACTTATAATGCAAAGAAAGAAAGAAACTTGCCACCCTTTGACCAAGTTCCTGCCTTCCTAATAAATATTTCCCATTTAAAACATCTACTTGACAGCTGCCCAAGCAATGTTTTCTATAGGATCCATATTTCCCATGGACAAACCAACTCTCTGCAAATTTACCATTCTTTTAGTTTTTACTTCAGAAGACAGTTTATTTTTAAACTGTCTACTTAAAATCTCTGATTTTACAGATAAACATGCATTACCTTTAGGTGTTTTTGCAGTAAATTCAGGATCAAAACAAAAAGTATCATCTGGTTTTCCAGAAGCAGGTTTGAAAGGAGGTTGAACTTCTCTTTTATATAACTTCTAGAAGGGGCAACCAGATAACACAAAACATATTAAGACTTTAAAAATTATTATACTTTGTAAAAGAAAGCAGAACATAATATTCACAGTACATAATAGAAGACTAACCATTTCATAAAATAAATTTCAACAGGTTTCAGATACCTGTTAACCAAATTCTAAAATTTTGAGAGCTAATGTTCAAAATGTAATGAGGCCAAGAAACACAGCAATGATGCCACAAGCTGAATTCACAAGGAAAGGTCAATTTTGGATATCAGAAGTTTTTGAATGCTCATTGATAATATAGCCATGCAAATACAGCACAATAACAACTAAAATGCTCAAGGCTTTCAAAATCAATAGATTATTTTTAAGAAGTACATATTTCATCTAAAATATTGTTTTCACATAAAAACATACATTAAATGTACTGTTTAGGCTTGTATCAGATAATTGAAAAGTTTAGTCTTGTTTAACAATCTACCTTGCTAAAATCTACGCTTTTGAAAGGCATAGAAAGTTTCTAATAATACATAAAAAGCCACTTTTTTTGAAATCTATTTTTTAAAAAGCTTACAGTCCCACAGTGGGGAAAAATAAATAGGGAATTACTTTTGAGTAATTTTCATTTATTTAAATATGTAAACACGACTTCTGGTTCAATATGGCTTACTAGAAACAGCTAGTGGGTGCCTCTCTCATGATGAGTAATCAAAATAGCAAGTAAATATTGACAGTTCAAGTATATTTTGTAAGAGGCCACACTGGAATTCATCAGAGAAGCGATGGAATTGGGAATCACAAAAAGAAGAGAACAAAGCCATGCCATCAGGTGAACTGAGACTGGTGTGGAGCCAGGAGATCTTTGATGCAGGGAAGGGAAGATTGAGTGAGAGACCTCCAGGATTCCACAATTCACGATTCTGTCACAGACTTTCAATGCTAACTATAGGTAAGCCCCTTGAATCCCCTAGGCCTCCAGTTTAATACATGGAGCTGCCTGGAATCTGTGCAAAGGTACTGCTCAAGCCCATGTGGAATCCCATGAACTTTTGATCTCCGAGCAGCTTGGCACCGTCTGCTGCCACCCCACTAGGCAGGGAGCAGGTAGGTCGGCACTTGTGCACATCTCAAAGACAGATACTGCAGCTGCAGTACAGAAGAGTGAGCAGAATGCACGCTGCAAAGACTGCTGACCTCAGCTGTTCCCTTCTAAATGAGGCCTCCCTTCTTCAGTGTTGGGTCTACAGCACAGCTGCCCTGCCCCTACGTGTATATACTGGCCACAGCCTGGCGTTCTTCTTACAGCTCAGCTCCCAGAGGCTGGTGACCCACTCTTAAGCTCCCTCAATAGTTGTGCCCGACACCACCATCACACTTGTCACTCCTGGGCCAAGGAGACAGTGGGGAAACTGGGCACCTCTGTGTGCCCCCCAAAGTGAAATCCACTGCCGCTCCATCAGGAGGGAAGTGCAGGTGGGCCAAGCACCCCATAGCTGCCAACCTTCATTGCTTCAGCTGAAGGGGTCTGCCTTCCCCAGTGAAAGGCCAGCAGCCCTGCTCCCAACTGACTATTTCACTTGTTACCTGGAGGCCTTCTGAGAGCCTAGCCCCCATAGGCCTGTGACAGGCCTTGGGACTTCGACCACATAAGCATTCTACAGGCTGTTCTGAGAGCCCAGACCCCAAAGCATGCGATCAGCCATGGGAATCCCACCACCAGAACATTCTGCCATAATCTGAGAATCCCGTGGGCCCTTTTAAGAGACCAGCTCCCACAGGCCTGTGATCAGCCATAGGGACCCAATCACCTGAGTGTTTTGCTATATTCTGAGCATTCTGTGGGCGCTTCTGAGAGCCCAGTCACCACAGGTCTGCAATATGCATTGATGCGCCAACTGCCTGAGCATTCTGCAACTGCCTAAGCGTTTTGTAGGCCCTTCTGAGATCCCAGCCCCCACAGGCACATGATGTACTCTAGGACTCCCACTTCCAGAGTACTTTCCCTGCCTCTGCTTGAGAGTTCTGCCTGTGACTCCGAGAACCAGCCCATCACTCCCTATCATAGCCAGTAGCAGGATTCTAGAGACTTAACAAGTCCACTGTCCTGGTCCTGGTCCACTTCTTACAGGACTCATACATGCTGTCCGTTGGGCAATCCGGGGGATAAGGAATTGGAAGTTTGCCTAGTCCTATCCACCACTGCTAGTACATGACCATGCCCCAACCTGGGGTCTGAGCTCAGATGGACCCAACCAGACGATACTCCCACAGCTAATACCCAACTGTGTGTGCTAGAAAGTGGAGCCCCTCTGTGGTATCTACAGAAAGCAGCAGCATTACCCACTGGCAAACAGGTGAGTCACAAAGCTGTGTGTATTGGACTGATTCAAGAGGTTCCACCCAGAAACCACTCCCATAGACAATTGCAAGACAAGTGTCTTCTGTGGCTATCAGCTATACTGTGGTCTAGAGATACACGGCAGTTGTGCATCTGAACTGAGAGCCATGAACTCTGAGTTAGGGGTGTGACAGGTAAATAGAACATATTGCTACCCGTCTAGGATGTGAAGCTAGTCCCCCTACTCTCTGCTGAGACCTTGGTACTGTTTACCAGGTACTCTTCCAACCATGCCTGTCAGGGCTGGTTCCCCAGTTCATCATTGGGGTATTTGTGTGCAAGCCAGGCAGTCAAGCTCTGCCTAGCTCTCTTTCTCCTCACCCCTCATGGGACAAGAAGGTCAAGGAACCTGGCATTCCACTGTCCAGCCCATCATCTGAAACAACAGAGATCACCACACAATAAACAAATATCAACTGCATACTGATCTGCTTTTGCCATGGCTGGCTTCTACTGGTAAATGCCACCTACTGCCCTATAGATTGAACTGTAAAACCCAACGTAAAAACCTGATAAGAAGTGCACGGGCCTACAGAAACAAAGCCAAGAGACTTTTGGCTACTTCCCAACCTACTCTACAGTCACATCCCCCAAGAGGGATGGCAGCAGGGGGTGAACCACATCTAAATGAAACAAATTCAAAAGCAATATGTGACAGCTTCTACAGATAAGAAGGAACTAACATAAGAACTTCAGGACTATGAAGAAAAAGAATGTAATGACATCCCCAAAGGGTCATAGTAGCTACCTACCAATGAATCTTAATCAAATGAAAACTCTGAAATGGCAGATAAAACATTCGAAATATGAATTGTAAGGAAGCTCAATGAAATCCAAAAGAAAGTCAAAAACATACAAACAAACAAAAAAATCAGAAAACAATTCAGGAGATAAAAGATAAATATATATATATTTTAAAATTCTGGAAGTGAAAAAAAAGATGAAAGGAATTTCAAAACAGAGTTGAAAACTTTAATAACATGCTAGACCACGCATAAGAAATAATTTTGAGCATGAGGCCTGGTCTTTTGAATTAAATCAGATAAAATTAAATAACAAATAATTTTTTAAAAAATGAACAAAGTCTTTGAGAAATATGGGATAATGTAAAGTGACCAAACTTACAACTTACAGACAGAAAGAAAAAAAGAAAAGAAGTTTGGAAAGCATAATTGAGGAACTAATTCAGGAAAATATCCCCAATCTTGTTAGAGATGCAGATATCTAGATATAAGCAATTCAGAGAACACCTAGGAGACACTATAGAATACAAACGTGACCTAGGGATATAGTCGCCAGACTATCCAAGTTCAATGTGAAAGAATAAATCATAAAAGAAGCTAGAGAAAAGCATCAAATCACGAATAAAGGAAACCTCATCAGACTGACAGTGAACCTCTCAGCAGAAATTTTAACAAGCCAGAAGAGAATGGGGACCTAATTTTAGCTTCCTTTAAAAAATGGCATCCAAGAATTTTATATCCAGCCAAAATCAGCTTCATAAAATGAAGACATAAAGTCATGAACAGAAAACACTAGAGGAACTTATCACCATTAAATAGACCCCATAAGAAATGCTCAAAGAAGTTCTAAAAATGAAAACAAAAGTATGTCACTCACCATCATAAAGGCACACATAAGTAGAAAGCTCAAAGATCCTATAAAGCAATCATACAATTGAGAATCCAAGGCAACTAGCTAGCAACATTATGACAGGATTAAAACCTCATATATCAATATAACCTTCAACATAAATGGCATAAATGTCCCATCCACAATATGTAGACCAGCAAGTTGGGTAACAGACAAAAACCAACCATTTGCTGCCAAAAAGAGACCCACAGAATAGTAAGCACATCTACAGACTTAAAGTAAATGGGAGGAAAAACATATAGCATGCAAATAAAAAACACAGCAGAGCTGAAGTAGCCATTCTCATATCAGATAAAACAGACTTTAAACCAGCAACAGTAACAAAAGGCAAAGAAGGGCATTATATAATGAAATGATAAGGGCTCAATTAAACCAAAAGATTTAATTATCCTAAATATATATGCATCCAACACCAGAGTGCTCAGATTCAACAACAAATACTACTAGACCTAAGAAAAGAGATTGATGGCAATACAATAATAGTGTGGGACTTCAATACCAAATGACAATACTAGACAGGTCATCAAGGCAAATGTCAACAAAGAAACTCTGGACTTAAACTGGACACTAGACCAAATGGACTTTTACAGAATATTCTAATCAACAACTACAGCATATACATTTTTCTCATCTGCACATGTAACACTCTCCAAAATTGAACATATGCTTAACCATAAAGCAAATTTCAATAAATTCAAGAAAATCAAAATCACATCAAGTATCCCATTGGACCACAGTAGAATAAAATTAGAAATGAATACCAAGGGGAACTCTCAAAGCTACACAAGTACATGGAAATGAAACAAGTTGCTCATGAATGACTTTTGGGTGAAAAACAAAGTCAAGGCAGGAATAAAAAAAACTGCAAAGAATGAAAATAGAGACACAACATAGCGAAACGTCGGAGATACAGCCAATGCAGTGCCAAGAGGAAAGTTTTTAGTGTTAAATGCCTAAATCAAAAACACAGAAAGATCTCAAATCAATGATCTATTGTTACACTACATGAAACTAGAATAACAAGAAAAACCAGACCCAAAGCTAGCAGAAAACAAAAAATAACTAAGTCTCATTTAGCTGAACTAAATGAGATTGCGATCAAAAAAAGACACAAAGGATCAACAAAATGAGAAGCTGGTTCTTTGAAATAATAAAGTTGATAGATCACTAGATGGCTTAACTAAGAAGAAAAAACAGAAGACTGTAACAAGTACAATCAGAAACTGAAAAGGGCACACACTGCAATGGATACCACAGAAATATATATAAGATGATCAGTGATAACTATGAACATGTATATACATACAAACTAGAAAAGCTAGATGTTGGATAAATTCCTGGAAACACACAGTCTCCCAAGACTGAACCAGGATGAAACAGAAAATACAAACAGACCAAAGGAATAGTGAAACTGAGCCAGCAATAAAAAATGTTCCATCAAAAAAAGCCAGGATCACATAAGTCTACAAACAAGTTTTTCCAGACATGCAAAGAAGAGCTGGTGCCAATCTAAAACTGTTCCCAAAAATTGAGGAGTTGGGAATCCTCCTAATTAATTATACAAAACCAGTATCATCCTGAAAGCAAAATCAAGTAAGGACACAACCAAAAAAGAAAACTGCCAGCCAATATTCCAGATGAACATAGATGCAAAAATCCTCAACGAAATACTAGCAAACCAAATCCAACAGCACGTGCAAAAAAATAGTTAATCATGATCAAGTGGATTTTATTCTAGGGATGAAAAGATGGATCGACATTTACTAATCAATAAATGCAAATCACCACATAAAATTATAAACATAAATCATGTGATCATCTCAATAGATGCAGAAAAAGCATTAGAGACAATTCAACATCACTTGATGATAAAAACCCTCCATATAATAGGCATAGAAAGAACATACTCCAACATCATACCAAATGTGGGAAAGTTGAAAGCATTCCCTTCAGGAACTGAAACAGGTCAAGGATGTCCACTTCTACCACTCCTAGTCAACATAGTACTGGAAAGTCCTAGCCAGAGCAATCAAGCAAGAGAAAGAAACGAAAGACATCCAAATTGGAAAAGAGGAAGTCAAAGTACCTCTGTTCATTGATGATATAAGATACTGAGAAAAACCAAGACTCCTCCAACAGACTCCTAGACTTGATAAACAAATTCAGTAATGTTTCAAAAAATAAAATCAACATACAAAAATCAGTAGCTTTTCTATACAACAATGATGTTCTAACTGAAAACCAAATGAAGTTTCTCATTAACGATCTCATTAACAACAGCCGCAAAAAGTAAAATACCTACAAATACATTTAACCAAGAATGTGAAAGAGTTCTACAAGGAGAACTATAAAACACAGATGAAAGAAACTAGATCAAATGGACGAATGGAGAAATATCTCATGCTCATGAATTGGAAGAATCAATATCATTAAAATGACCATACCAGTCCGGGCACAGTGGTTCACGCCTATAATCCCAGTACTTTGGGAGGCTGAGGTAGGAGACTCACTTGAACCCAGAAATTCCAGACCATCCTAGTTAACATAGCGAGACCTCATCTTTACCAAAAAAATTTACATTAGCCAGGCATGGTGGCATACACCTGTATCCCCAGCTACTCAGGAGGCTGAAGTGGGAGGATTGCTTAAGCCTAGGAGGTCAAAGGTGCAGTGAGCAGTGATTGTGCCACTGCATTCCAGCCTGGGCAATAGAGAGAGATGCTGTCAAAAAAACAAAAACAAAAACAAAAAAACAAAAACAAACAAACAAAAAAACATACTGACCAAAGCAATATCCACATTCAGTACAATTCCTATCAAACTATGAACATCAGTCATCCTTCAGAGAATTAGAAATAACAATCCTAATGTTTACACGGAATCAAAAAAACAGCCTGAATAGCCAAAGCAACCTTAAGTAAAATTAACAAATCCAGAGACATCACATTTCCTAATTTCAAATTATACTACAAGGCCATAGTAACTTAAACAGCACAGTACTTGTACAAAAATAGACATATAGATCAATGGAACAAAACAGAGATCCCAGCAATAAAGCTGCATACCTATAGCCATCTGATTTTCTACAAAATCAACAACAATAAACAATGAGGAGAGAACACTCTATTCAATAAATGGTGTTGGGAAAATTGCCTAGCCACATGAAGAAGAATAAAACTGGACCCCTATCTCTCACTATTCACAATAATTAACTCAAGATGGTTTGAAGACTTAAACATAAGACGTGAAACTACAAAGGTACTAGAAGAAAACCTAGGCAAAACTCTTCTGGACATTGATCTATACAAAGAATTTATGACTAAGATCCCAAAAGCAAATGCAACAAAAACAAAAGTAGACAAATTGGACTTAATTAATTTCCTGCACAGCCAAAGAAATAATCAGTAGAGTAAAAAGATGACCTACAGAATGGGATAAAATATTTGCAAACTATGTCTCTGACAAAAGACTAATATCCAGAATCTACAAGGAACTCAAACAACTCTACAGGTAAACAAACAAACAGACCTATTAAAAGGTGGGCAAAGGATATGAACACACATTTTACAAAAGAAGACATAAAGCAGCCAACAAACATGGAAAAATGTTCAATATTACTAATCATCAGAAAAATGCAAATTAAAACCACAATGAAATATGATTTTATATCAGTCAGGAGGGCTATTATTAAAAAGTTAGAAAATAATAGATGTTGGCATGGATGTGGGAAAAAAATGGGTACACTTATACACTGTTGATGGGAATGTAAATTAGTACAACCTCTATGAAAAACCATATGAAAATTTCTCAAAGGTATAATAATCAAAAAAATTTGACCCAGCAATCCCACTAACAGGAATGTACCCAAAGGAAAATCAATCATTATATAAAAAGGACACCTGCACTTGTATGTCTATCACAGCACTGTTCACAATAGCAAAGTCATGGAATCAACCTAAGTGTCCATCAATGGTTAATTCGATAAAGAGAATATGGTATATAGACACCATGGAATACTACACATCTGTAAGAAAGAACAAAATCATTATCTTTGCAGCAACATGGATGGAGGTGGAGATCATTATCCTATGTGAAATAACTCAGAAAATCAAATATCCCATGTTCTCACTTATAAGTGGGAGCTACACAATGGAAACACATGGACATATAGATGGAAATAACAGACACCAAGGACTCCAAAAGGGAGAAGTTAAAAGGGGGTTGAGGGTTGAAAAATTACCTAATGGTCACTGTTTTGTTGATGGATACATTAGAAATCCAAACCTACCATTATGCAATATCCATGTAAAAAACCCACAAATGCACCCCCAGATCTAAATTTTTTTTAAGAAAAAGAAAAATAAATACATATGTAAACATTCCACTGATTTGTTATTTAAATTAAAAGCAATAAATCTTTACTCTCCTGTATTGGTCATATGAAGTTATTCAATAACAAGCTTTCTACTTAACTTACATCCCAGTCAATATTTGCAAAAAACAGATGTCTTTTGATTTCTTCAACTCCTTCTGATCCTATAAAAAAAAGAAATGATATTTTAATTTTATGATTTTTTTTAAATCTTGCTCACTGGCTTCCAGACTGCTATCTGTAAACAGGAACACACATATTTCATACATTCCTTGGAAAGAAAATTATTTGATTTCTTATCTGGCATTTTATTAGCTGGTCCTTTCATTTTATTGTGATAAAAAACAACTAATGTTCATACTGAACTACAAAGAGTATCATGAAATATTAAACTGTCTCTCAAATCAAAATAGTATTAAACATAATACTTAAATACATATTTTTTCACTCCCAATTTATCTTATGACCTTATATTTATATGCCAAATTAAAAGGTACAAAGGAGGCCGGGCGCGGTGGCTCAAGCCTGTAATCCCAGCACTTTGGGAGGCCGCGATAGGTGGATCACGAGGTCAGGAGATCGAGACCATCCTGGCTAACACGGTGAAACCCCGTCTCTACTAAAAAATACAAAAAATTAGCCGGGCGAGGTGGCGGGTGCCTGTAGGCCCAGCTACTCGGGAGGCTGAGGCAGGAGAATGGCGTGAACCCGGGAGGCAGAGCTTGCAGTGAGCTGAGATCTGGCCACTGCACTCCAGCCTGGGCGACAGAGCAAGACTCCGTCTCAAAAAAAAAAAAAAAAAAAGGTACAAAGGAATAAACGGACACTGAAATTTTCACACGAGGGCATAAATAATAGGATTGCATCTGGATACAGGGAAAGGCTACCAGAAAGGGGTCAAAAAAAGTAGTTACAGAAACATAATGTTTACTTCGAAGAATATTGGGAGGGGCAAAATATCTATCTTCAAATATATAAAAGACTACCTGTATAAGGGAGAATCTGTGTATTATTTCAAAAGAAGTAACCCATAATATATACCTAATAATAGGTTGAACAGAAGCTTTCATTAACTAGATTACTTCAGTTTTAAATCATGGACATAACAGAATTTACTTCATCTGAAATGCATACACAAAATGAAGAATTCTATGTATAGAAGTAATGTGCTGAAATCAAACAAGAAAACATAAAGATTTAATTATCCTCCCAAAACATGCAGTTACTTCTATAAAAGCTAAGAAAATAAGCAATACCCAATCTATTTGCTGGATTCCTTTTGAATAACATCCTTAGAAGACTTTGTGCTTCAGCACTAAGAAATTGAGGCATTCCAAGTTTTGCTCTGAAACAGAGGATTTTAGAAAGTTTCACTTCAATTTAGCCACACATTTGATTTGAAAAATCTCAAAAAGAATTTTTAAAAGTGCTTTTACAAGGGTAAATAAAGTACTGTATATGGTAGAAGGGAACAAGACAGTGAGAAAAATGTTCTCGTTATTTTAAAACCGCAATAATTTTCTCAAAACTGAAAGCAAGAGATTTTTTTCCCAAAAGAAAAACATACTGTTTACACTTACTTTAATATCATATTCATGGTCTCATTTCTGTCTTTACCTTGAAATGGCAGAGTACCAGTAAGCATTTCAAACTAAAACAAACAAACAAAACATCACCACACAATTAGAACACCTTAGAATATATAGTAAGATTCTTTAGAAAAAAATTGAGACTTCTACTATATAATCATCAAACTGTAAGATCTACATGATAGTAGATCAAAATGGGACCAGAAAATTCGGTTACTTAAAGTAATATACTTCTGGTATCCCACTCTCTCTCTCTATATATATATAGCTCAACTGATGGTGACCTGTAGCAGATGAAACCAACCAATTCTTCCTCAGTTCTAATTTGGCTATGTTCTCAAAGCCAAAGCAATCTGAAAATACACACAATGCATTTTCTGTTAAAGATATTCTTTTGAAGCAAATGTTTAATAATAAAGGAAAAGGAAAAATAAGCAGAAAAGCATTTCGAATTCATACATGCCCAACAAAGATTTAACCATTCTCATTCCCTCCACGGCCCCCAAAACAGGACCCAAAAAAAGAGGTAGAAGCAGCAGAACACACCAGCACCACTACCCCACCCCCCGACACGCATGCCAATAGCTTTAAAAAAGAAACATACACCTTAGTTGTACACAGAAGAAGGAAAACATTTTCTCATAGAGAACTGACTGCAATGTGACTAACTAGAACATTAAATAATGGTATAAACAGACTACCTCTAAAAATCATTATAGTACATTAAAGAGAAGTTTTTGTATCTCCAGTATTTAAATCTCAAACTTAGATTCAATAATAGATTTGTCCTTTAGTCTTCTACTCATTTATCTGAACTCACAATCTAAGTGAGCTTATACGTTCAAGTCTTCCCTGTATCTTAATGTCTCCCAAAATCTGGTGTTCAAGCCTTAATCTTTCTCAAACTCCAGCTTTCCTTCCCAAATCTTAAGTAATGGTAGACCACCAAAGACTGGAGGAGTAGAGGTGACAACTTCAGGGAGAGAATGAAGGATCATATACAGGACTCACATCTTCCCTCAAAGAAACTATAGGTTGGGTAGTTAATATATACATATTAAGGTCTCCAAATGATTCTGATTCTCTCTCCACTACCCCTTCTAGTTTATCACCACCCAGTGGTGAGTCATTAACCGACAGTAACCTATGCTACATGTTAGAAATTATTTTTTCCCACTTCCAAAATCAGCTGTCCTCCTCAGCTATCTCTTCTATTAACTTACCATTCTTTCATCCCCCTAAAACTCACAAATTTTGTAGGCATTTTTATCTTTGACAATTTATCTCTTTTTCACCTGTGTCATCTAATTTGCTACCAAGGTTAGTAACAGATTACTTTGAAATCTCTATAATCTTACAATTGTCTTTTAAGATCTCTTTTGTCTTCCTGTTTCTAGTTTCTTCCAATACAATCCACTTACATAATGCTGTCAAGGCTAATCTTCCTAAAATACAATCTTCTCTAATTTCCATCCTGTTTAAGAATCTAAAAGTTTCCTCCTACCCAAAGAATCATGTGTAAATGCTTATAGGTTTATAGCTTCCCTTCTTCCACCTTTGCCCTCTTTCTCCACTTCTCTAGTCAAACTGGTTCTCCAAGTCTTTGCTAATATGATCACAATACTCTCCTTCTTGACACACAACTATTTAAATTTTATCCATCCTTCAGGGCTTAATTTAAGTTCCAACTCTTCCAGTTTGCCTACATCAGTTTACATTAAATCTTCCCTGAACTCCTAAGGTACTTCTTGAGAGTTTATTTAGCTACTCCAATTGAAAAAGATCAAATATTGTACTTAGAATCAGTCCTTACCCCACAGGCCTCCTAATATGTCAGGCTTATAATAGGCACTTAACATGCTGATGTGTCATTTGGTATGCTACTCAGTGATAAATGGACAAAATGGATCAGCCCTCAAAAGCAAATTATATCTAATTCAACAGCTATTTATCTAGCATCCTACTGACTACTGCAAATTCTATGCTTAATCTCATACCAATGGTCATTAAGCATCTACTGTATTAAGCATCTACTGAAATGCTCACTATGCTTGGTACTATGGGAGATGAAAAGTAGTATAAGACATGATTCCTCTGTTCAACAGGTTTATAACCTTTCCAGGGAATGCACGGAACAATCTGACAATAGGACACTATGTGGTAAGGTGCTAAGTTCTGTAACATTCAATTAAAATACCATGTAACTGATAAGCTCATCATTCTGAAATATAGAATCTGACAGACCTTTTTATAAGTATCAAATATGAATAGTTTATAATAACAATGCTGCCATTTACCTTTTTACTAGCAACTTTAAAATAAATCAGAACACCAAAACCTTAATTTTTATTGTATAACAGCTAGCCAATCACAAGGTTTTTGGTGTTAATTATAAATTATCAGAACCCCTTTCTGACCTGCTAAGTCCCAAAATTTGAAATAAAATTATTTTTATATTTTGAAATAAAATAAAATAATTTATATATCAATCACAGGTTGGTATAATTAAAACAAATACTGCTACTTACCATAAGAACACCATATGACCACCAATCAGCACTCTGGGAATGGCCTCTCCTATTTACTACTTCAGGAGCCATATACTCTACTGTACCACAAAATGAGTAAGCCTTCTTTTCTTGATCTACTGACTCCTTGCTGAGTCCAAAATCTATAATAACAGTATTACCAAAAAATGTGTCTGAAAAACTTCAGAAAACAGAAAACATCAAAAGAAACAAAATAATGTATTAAACATTACAATTATTTATGGATGGCCTACAATTATTCTTAAGAAAGTTCCTGTGAGATCAATAAGAGAAAGTAGCTTGTATTTCATAACAATACTCTTTAAGGTCATTTAAAGATCCCTCCATTAAATCTCATCCTCAAAATACATGCTTTCAGGTCTGCACTAGAATACAATGCAAAAAATGTGAGGGAACAACAATTAAATCAAAGCTGCCATATTGATCTAAGTTTTAAAATAGACTAAGACAAAACAGAAATAGTAACTTATACTTTTAACTTATACTTTTAAAGTAACTTATACTTTAAAATACTAAAAAAACAAATTTTGCTTTGGCTTTGGTGAGCTTCCATTTTTGTTCAAAGCCTTCAAAGAGCTAAAGATATCAATATATAAAAATCAATCTTATTTCCTGGTATTACTAATGAACAACTGGAAGACGAAATTTAAAAAATACCATTTATAATACCACCAAAAATATCAAACATGAAATCTACAGGTATAAATATACAACTACAGCTATAAAATATATATGCAAGAATCATATGCTGAAAACTGGAAACACTGATGAAACAAATCAAAGTAGACCTAAATAAATGGGAAGATATACCATGTTCATGAATTGGAAGATTTAATGTTGTTAAGGTATGAATTCTCCCCAAACTGATATACCAATTCAATGAAACTTTAATAAAATCCCAGCAAAATTTCTTTTGTAGAAATCAATAAGCTGATTCTACAAGTTGTATAAAAAAGTCAAGAAAATAAAATAGTCCAAACAATTTTGAAAAGTTAGAAGAAAGTTAAAAGACTTCTACTACACCTGACTTCAACACTTACTATAAAGCTACTGTAATCAAGACAGTGGGGTACCAGAAAAAGGTTGGACATATATATCAACGGAACAGAAGAGTGTGCAATAATAGACTAACATATACAGTTAATTTTGCTATAATGCTTCTTTTGAAAATGCAAATTTGTTCTAATGCAACTGATATCTTAGCAAACAATCTAAGTATAACATGAATTTCACACTGGCTTATGGGTGATTTTGTCTGCAGGAAACATCATATGAGCACAGAAAACTGAACCAGCTGAGCTTAGGAAAGTAGAAATACATAAAATACACATATGCACACACCTCAAACATCTACCAGCTACTTCACTGTATTTGTTATGAGCCACTCCTGTCCACCTCTAGTGTTAAAATTTTCCTTCCAGTTCCAGATAATCTAACTTCCACTACATCATTATAATTTACAAACTGTAGCTTTTCTGACACCCACTTCCACAAGCAAACTTCAGGTCTTTTTCAAGGTAAGGAACTGTATTTATTGCAGTCTTTATGTATTTCTTAATCATTTAGAACATATAAAACAATGCTACCCTTTTTACTTTCTTCTCTTTTGAGTATCACTGATAAAACATTTTAAAGTTATGCCCCTTGCGCCATTTTCCCCATAAGTTCTGTGGTTTATATACTATGGATTTATGCATACTGCAGTGATTTAGATCACATACATCACATTATAACTGGCTCTACAATGTCACTTGATTTATCACAAAGGTGCAAAAACAATTCTATGGAGAAAAAGCAGTCTTTTCAACAAATGGTACCAGAACAAGTAGGATAGAGATATAGAAAAGTTCATCCTCATACCATAAATAATTAACTCAAAATGGATCGTAAACCATGTAAAACCTAATATAAAATTTACAAAAAGAATAGAAAATCTTTGTGATCTTGGGTTATACATGAAAAGTATAATCGATAAAATAAAAATAATGATAAACTAGATATCATCGAAATAAACAAAACTGTTCTTCAGAAAATGGTATTAAGAAAATGAAAAAGAAGCTACAGGAGGAGAGGATGGAGCAAGATGGCGAAATAGAAGCCTATACCATTTGTAGCTTCTGCAGGAACACCAAAGTTCAACAACTCTCTGCACACAGAAAAGCACCATCACAAGAATCAAAAATCAGGTGAGTGATCACAGTACTTAGTTTTAACTTCATATTGCTGAAAGAGGCATTGGAGAGGGTAGAAGAGACAGTCATGAAGCACTGATGACACCCCCTCCCCATGCCCCAGCAGCAGTCATGCAATGAGGAGAGTCTTTGCAGACAGGGGAGGGAAAACTCAGCAACTGGGGGGCTTTACATTGAATTCAGTGCTGCCCTGTTACAGCAGAGAGCAAAGTCATGCTCGCCTCAGCCAGCACCCACATATGGAGGAAGGTTTTGTTATTTTTTATTTTTTAAGTTTTTTGTTTTTGTTTTTGTTTTTTTTTGAGACAAAGTCTTGCTCACTGCAACCTCTGCCTCTCGGGTTCAAGTGATTCTCCTGCCTCAGCCTCCTGAGTAGCTAGGATTACAGGCATCTGCCACCATGGGTGGCTAATTTATTTCATGCTTTTAGTAGAGGCAGGGTTTCACCATGTTGGTCAGGCTGGTCTCGAACTCCTGACCTCAGATGATCCATTCACCTCAGCCTCCCAAAGTGCTGGGTTTATAGGCATGAGCCACTGCACCCGGCCGGAGGAAGTTTTTGGACAAGAACTAGACAGAAGGGAATTGCCCATCCCAGTAGTCTAAATTTGAACTCCTCAGCAAGCCTCACCATCTTGGGCCAAAGTGCTCTGGGGTCCTAGGTAAACTTAAAAGGCAGTCTAAGATGTAAACTCTGCAATTCCTAGGCAACTACTAGTGTTGAACTGGAATCAGAGCCAGTGGACTAGGGTGGCATGTGACCTAGGTAAATACCAGTCAGGGTGGCTAAGGGAGTACTTGTGCCACCATTCCCCCAAACCCAGACAGCACAGCAACAAAAGTGACTCCTTCCTTCCTCTTAAGGAGGAAGGAGCAAACAGTAAAGAGGACTTTGTCTTGCATCTTGGATATCAGCTCAGCCATAATAGGACAGGACACTGTGCAGAGTTGTGAGGTTCCCATTCCAGGCCCTAGCTCATGGATGATATTTCTAGACACACCTTGGGCCAAAAGGAAACCCACTGTCTTGAAAAGAAGAACCCAGTCCTGGCAGGATTAATTGCCTGCTGATTAAAGAGCTCTTGCACCACGAACAACCACCAGCAGCAATATACCCAGGTAGTACACCATGGACCTTGGGCTCTGAGACATGCTGGCTTCAGGTGTGACCCAAAAATTAAGAGCTGTGGTAGCTACAGAAAAAAAAAAATCCTTCTGTTTGAGAAAAGCAGACAGAAAGGTAATGCACCTTAGGCACCAGCTTGGCCACAGTGGGGTAGGCCAATAAGCAGGCTCTTGAGATCTCTGAGTCTAAGCCTAGGCTCTTGAATATCATTTCTAGATCTGCCCTGGGGCATACGGGAGCCCAGTGCTCTGAAGAGTGAATTCCCAGCCTGGCAGCATTCACCAGTTGTTGACTGAAGAACCACTGGGCTTTAAGTGAACGTTGCCAGTGGCCTGGGAGAACCCCTGCTATGGGCTGCTGGTGCTGATGGCTACAGGGAGAGGTTCCTCTGCCTGTGGAAAGGGGAGGGAAGTGCAACAAAGATTCTGGGTTATGGTCTGAGTGCCACCTTAGTTACAGTAGAATAGAACTTCAGGTAAATTTCTAAGGTATGTGACTCTAATCCTTGGCTCCCAGACAGCATGTCTGGTCCTACCTGGAGCCAGGGGGAACTCACTGCCCTGAAAGGAAAGACACAAACCTGTTTGGCCTTAACATCTGCTGATTGTAGAGCACTGGTCTTGAGTGAAAATAGGTTTTACCCAGGTAATAGTTATAGTGAGCCAAGGGCAAGACCCAGTGTTGTGCTGGCTTGCAGTTTGATTTAATACAGTCTGAGTGGTGGCAGCCATAGGAGTGATTGCATAACCACATCCCCATTCCAGGTGGCTCAGCACAGAGATAGACTCCATGTGTTTGGGAGAAAATAAGGGAAAAGAATGAGGTTCTCCAACTGGTAATACAGAGAATTCTTCCAGAATTTATCCAAGGCCACCAATGGGTTACCTCTAGGAGCCTATAAAACTGTAGCATTATTGGACTTGGGGTTCAACTCCCAGCGAATACCTGTAAAGTCTTCCCAAGAAGGACAGGTACAAATAAGCCTGGAGTGCGAAGACCAAATTAAAAATCTAACTCATCAATGCCCATACACTCCCAAGCATCTACAAGCAGCAAGACCATCCAGAAAAACATGACCTCACCAAATGAACTAAATAAGGAACCAGGAATCAATTCTGGAGAAACAGAGATAGATATGCAGGCTTTCAGACAGATAATTCAAAATAGCTCTGTTAAGGAAACTCAACGAAACTAAAGATAACAAAGAGAAGGAATTTACAATTCTATCAGATAACTTTAATAAAGAGATTAAAATAATTAAAAAGAATCAAGTGGAAATTCTAGAGCTGAAAAATGCAACTTGACATACTGAAGAATGCATGACAGTCTCTTAATAGAAGAACTGATCAAGAAGTGAAAATAATTTGTGAGCTTCAAGACAGGCTATTTGAAAATACACAGAGGAGACAAAATTTAAAAAAAAGGAAAAGAATAAAGCATGCCTACAAGATCTAGAAAACAGCCTAAGAGGGGCAAGTCTAAGAGCTACTGGACTTGAATAGAAAGTAGAGAGAGAAAGAGGGGTAAGAAGTGTATTCAAAGGGATACTATCAGATAACTCCCGAAACCTAGAGAAAGAAATAAACATACAAGTACAAGAAAGTTATACAACATCCAACAGATTTAAACTAAAGAAGACCACCTCAAGGCATTTAATAATCAAACTCCAAAAGTTCAATGATAAAGTATCCTAAAAACAGCAAGAGAAAATAAACAAATCACATAATGGAGCCCCAATACACCTGGCAGCATACTTTTCAGTGAAAACATTATAGGTTAGGATAGAGGGGCATAACATATTTAA